TTCGGTCCTGGGACCTTGATCACTTGATCAAGGTCCCAGGACCGAAACGTTTTCTAATAAATATGTTATAGTGTTTGCTTACGTGTCTTTCTAAACCACAGTGAAACATATAGGTGAACAGTATTTAGATAAGGGTAAAGAGGTTTTTGTGGCATTTATGGAGTTTGAAAAGGCGTATGATAGGGGGACAATGTGGCAGATGTTGCAAATGTATGGAATGAGAGGTAGGTTATTGAAAGTAGTGAAGAGTCTTTACAAGGATAATGGGGCTCAGGTTAGAGTATGTAGGTGAGAGGGGGATTATTTCTTAGCAAAAGTAGGCCTTAGACAAGGATGTGTGATGTCACCATGGTTGTTCAATATATTTATAGATGGATTTATAAGAGAAGTGAATGCTCGGGTGTTGGAAAGAGGTGTGGGGTTAAAAGATAAAGAATCTAACAGAAAGTGGGAGCTGTCACAGTTGCTCTTTGCTTATGACACTGTGCTGCTGGGAGATTCTGAAGAGAAGTTGCAGAGGTTGGTTGATGAGTTTGGTAAGGCATGTAAAAGAAGGAAATTAAAAGTGAATACAGTGGACCCCCGCAAATTCGGAACCGTGAATTCACGGCTTCAGTAATTTGCAAACTTTTCCTTAGAACTAATAATTGTTCGCAGAAATCCTTGAAAATTCGCGAAATTTTTTTGGCTTTTCTCGTGGCATTATATAATTTTTTATGCGTTTTAATGGTATATATTAAGAAAAATGTAATTTAATAATTTTGTAACATAAATATTAACGTAAATTCAGCAAAATCTCCACATAAAATGTAATACTGTATAAATTATTACTGTATATTTACTGTATGTATACCAAAGAATACGGGGTTGCATGAATTACAGTATACCAAAGAAAATGGGCTTGCATAAATTACAGTACATATGGGGGTAACATCAGTATTTTACATTCTAGCACTGTGGGAGACATAGCAGTACAATACTGTATATGGGTATAACTTTACATTCCTTTTTTTTTTTTTTAAGGGTGATGTATGAAGCTGAGCATGAAATTAAATTAAAGTGTTTTAGGGGCATATTTAGGGTTTAAACTATAAAAATAGGCATTTATAAGCATTTTTTAACAACATCCAGAATTCACGGCTTTTCCAAAATCATGGGTGGTCTAGGAACATAACCCTCACGAATCTGGGGAAAAATACTGTATAGGAAAGAGTAAGGTGATGAGGACAACAAAAAAATTATGTAACAAAAGACTGTTACTTCAGCAGCAGAAATTTGTTTTTTAGAGTTCTACCGGCCAGGTTATAAAATCCACACCAGCAATCCCCGATATCCAGAGGTTGACTCTCCCAGTTTGCACATCTTATTTTGAGACGTGTTGGCCAGGCTGCTGCATCATCCTCTGATAACATTATTTATCAATGGAGGCAATGAAGCAAATGTATGAAAGTATAGTGGTACCAACACTCTTATATGGGTGTGAAGCTTGGGTTGTAAATGCTGCAGCGAGGAGGCGGTTGGAGGCAGTGGAGATGTTCTGTCCAAGGGCAATGTGTGGTGTAAATATTAGGCAGAGAATTCGAAGTGTGGAAATTTGGAGAAGGTGTGAAGTCAATAAAAGTATCAGTCAGAGGACTGAAGAGGGGTTGTTGAGGTGGTTTGATCATTTGGAGAGAATGGATCAAAGTAGAATGACATGGAGAGCGTATGAATCTGTAAGGGAAGAAAGGCAGGGTAGGGGTCGTCCTTGAAAAGGATGGAGAGAGGGAGTAAAGGAGGTTTTGTGGGCGAGGGGCTTGGACTTCCAGCAAGCGTGCATGAGCATGTTAGATAGGAGTGACTGGAGACAAACAGTTTTTGGGACCTGACGAGCTGTTGGAGTGTGGGCAGGGTAATATTTAGTGAAGGGATTCAGGGAAACCAGTTATTTTTATATAGCCGGACTTTTTTTTTTTTTTTTTTTTATTATACACGGCCGATTCCACCAAGGCAGGGTGGCCGAAAAAGAAAACTTTCCCTCATTCACTCCATCACTGTCTTGCCGGGAAGGGTTTCTTTAAATACAGGGTTTTTAAACTGCAACATTAACACCCCCCTTAGAGTGCAGGCACGTACTTCCATTCCAGGACTCAAGTCCGGCTGCCGGTTCCTGAATCCTCATAATGTTACTTTGCTCAACCCTTTCCCAAAAGACATCAAGTATTAAAACCATTTTTCTCCATTCATCCTATCAAACACGTCACGCATGCCCGCTGGAAGTAAGCCCTCGCACACAAAACTCCTTTACCCCCTCCCTTCCAACCTTCCCAGGGACCCTAAACCCGCCTTCCTTCACTACAGGGTGATACCTCTTGAAGTCATTCTGTTTCGCTCATTCTTTCTAATGTCCAACCACCTCAACAACCTTCCTCAGCCTTGGACAACAGTTTGGTAATCCGCACCTCCTCTAATTCCAAACTACGAATTTCTGATTATATTCACACCACCATTGCCCTCAGACATGGGTCTCCATGCTCCGCCTTCTCCTCGTGCAACATTCATACCCCCGCTTTACACCCAATAAGAGCGTTGGTAAAACTTATCCATCATTCCCTCTTTGCCCCAAAGGGCAAAAATTTTTTCTCCCAAGATCCCAAGTGCACCCTCACTTTTTTCCTCATCAATTTATGTTTACCTCATTTTCATAGACCCCTCCGCTGACACGTCCCCTCCCAAATATTGAATACTTCACCTCCTCCATACTCTCTCCTCCAATTTGATATTCAATTTTCATCCCAATCTTTTTGTTTCCCCATAACCCTTTCTCTTTCCTGTATTACCTTTAAATTTTTTTTTTTGCACACCCTACCAATTCTCCCCCAATCTCTGCAATTCTTTAGAATCTCCCAAGAGCACAGTGTCATCGGACTTGAGTTCTGGAAATGGGAAGTGCAATGCCTGCACTTTAAAGGAGAGGTTTGGGACATCGGCAGTTTGGAGGGATGTGTAATAGGACGGTATAACTGGGGCCCTGATATTATATTCTATGGGGGGTTTATTATAATATTTCAGGTCACTTTGTATTCTGTATCTTTATATGCATATGCTTCTAAACTGTTGTATCTGGGCACCTCTGCAAAAACAGTGATTATGTGTGAATGAGGTGAAAGTGTTGAATGATGAAAGTATTTTTGTTTTGGGGATTTTCTTTCTTTTTGGGTTAACCTGCCAAGGTGGGAGATGGCCGACTTGTCAAAAAAAAAAAAAAAAAAAAGACTGGATATCAGATTCGAGGGAGAGAGTATGGAGGAGGTGAATGTATTCAGATATTTGGAAGTGGACGTGTCAGCAGATGGGTCTATGAAAGATGAAGTGAATCATAGAATTGACAAGGAGAAAAAGGAAAGTGGTGCACTGAGGAGTCTGTGGAGACAAAGAACATTGACTGTGAAAGCAAAGAGGGTGTGAGGCATGGGTGGTGAATGTTGCAACAAGGAGAAGTACTGGATGCAGTGAAGATGTCATGACTGAGGACAATGTGTGGTGTAAATATAATGCAGAGAATCCATAGCTTGGAGGTTAGGAGTAGTTGTGGGATTACCAAAACTATTATCGAGAGGGCTGAGGAGGGGTCATTGAGATGGTTTGGACATGTAGAGAGGGTGGAACAAAACAGAATTACTTTGAGAGTGTATAAATCTGTAGTGGAGGGAAGGTGGGATAGAGGTCAGCCTAGGAAAGGCTGGAGGGAGGGGTTAAAGGAGGTTTTGTGTGTGAGGGGTTTGGACTTCCAGCAAAGGTAAGGGTGCATGAGCGTGTTAGATAGGAGCAAATGGAGACAAATGGTTTTTAGGGCTTGATGTGCTGTTGGAGTGTGAGCAAGGTAACATTTATGAAGGGATTCAGGGAAACCGGCAGGCCGGACTTGAGTCCTGGAGATGGGAAGTACAGTGCCTGCACTCTGAAGGAGGGTTGTTAATGTTGCAGTTTAAAAACTGTAGTGTTAAGCACTCTTCTGGCAAGACAGTGATGGAGTGAATGATGGTGAAAGTTTTTCTTTTTCGGGCCACCCTGCCTTGGTGGGAATCGGCCAGTGTGTTAATAAAAAAAATAAAAATAACAATAAAAAATAATAACAATCTTTACTTCTACCAGTACACGATGCAACTTATATAGACCTAGTTGACATCACTGACATACTAAATAGAAAGCCCCTGGTTATCCAGAGAGTGAGGTCAATTTAGGTTAATTTTTTCCCCAGGATGCATTCACACTAGTTGGCTAACACCCAGCTACCTACTTGTTGCTAAGTGAACAATGACAGTAGGTATCTTAAGGAAACACTCCCAATGTTTCTAACTTTACCAGGGATCAAACCACAGACCTCAATGTGTGAGCTGAGTGCACTACCAACCAAGCTAAATATTATGCGGAGAATTTGAAGTTTGGAGATTAGGAGGATGTGCAGGGTTACTAAAAGTATTATCCAGAGGGTTGAGGAGGGGTTCTTGAGTTGGTATGGACATTTCAAGAGGATGGAGTAGAATAGGATGACATGGAGGGTGTATAAATCTGTAGTGGGGGGAAGGCAGAGTAAGGGTCACCCCTAGAAAAGGTTGGAGGAAAAGGGTAAAGGAGGTTTTGTATGCAAGGGGCTTGGACATCCAGCAGGTGTGTGCGAATGTATTAGATAGGTGTGAGTGAAGGTAAGTGGTTTTTATAACTTGACTTGTTACTGTGGTTGTTGCAAGGTAACATTTATGAAGGGACTCAGGTAAACAGGTCTGCCAGACTTGAGTCCTGGAGGTGGAAAGTTTAGTGCCTGCATTCTGAAGGAGGGGTGAGGATATTTGCAATCTGGAGGGGCATCCGAACTGTACTATTGGAACGCTTCTGGCAAGATGGTGAAAGAGTGAGCAATGGTGAAAATTTCTTCCTTTTCAGGTTTCACAACCTTGGTGAGAGACAGTCAAAGTGTTAAAAAAATAAATGAAGCAAATGCCTTACTTTCTCTTCCTTACCTGATATTGGTTTGACATCATCACGAAAAGCAGCCAGTTCTTGTGCTAATGTTAGGAAAGTCATGTGTGTTGTGGTGGACCATGTCAGGTGAAGCTGTTCACTGACATCTATGAGCAATTCTCCGTTGATCAACTCCACAACCACCTCACTCACTTGTCCACATTCACCCTAAAATATGTTTATTTTATTTTATTAATAATTAATTCTGAGAAAAGAGAGAAAGGCAGAAGAGGAGAAAAAACAAGGAAAGGAAGGAAAAGTGTGCTTTGTGGCTGTCAACAATCTCCATATTTAACTTAATATGTGAGAAAAGAAAGGAGTTGTTAGCATGCCTTAGGCAGGAAGGAGTAATATCTGATAGGAGCAAGTGCCACAGGTGAATATGGAGAAAGAGCAAAACAGCTGAGACAGATGGGACTAAGAATGAGATGTTAAATGCAAGTGAGGATATAGTTTTGGAGCAAGTGGTGTATTGTTCAATATTTGCATTAAAGAATGAAAGGTGCCTAAGGATTAGGAGAGAGCATGCATAGTGCCTTTATTTACATAAAAATGGGTCAAGAGAGAATGAAAGAACTATTGGGAAATAAGCTTGTTGAGTATGGTATACTAGGTAAAGTGTACAGTCAGTAGAATTATTGGAAACATAAACACGTATGCAGTTTAATGTGATCCTTTATTGACAACGTTTCGCCCACACAGTGGGCTTTTTCAAGTCACAAACAGATCTACCTGGGGTGGAAGGCACGGGGGTATTTATAGTCAGGTTCAGAATGTTGAGGTCAGGTGGAGAATGCTGCATCTGATGATCTACCGGGTGGGATTATAGAGTCTTGGGTAGCTTGGCAGGGGTATTGGACAAGTTGTGAATAGACCTTCTGCAGTGTTCTATGTTCTTATGTGGGATAGCGATGAAGAAGTTTCTTGGCAAGTGGTTCAGCTATGTAATACAAGCCACTGTTCTGGTTGAAATTGTTGGTTATAGAGATAAGCGATGATTCCAGGATTCTTCGGTATTGAGTGTTGTCTTCTGTGGCGATAAGTCTTGAGTTTCTGTAGTTAATTAAATGATTGTGTGAATTGCGATGTTGTAACAGGCATTCCTTGTATCGTCAGTCCTGCTTGCGTATTGGTGTTCTGAAATACGTGTTTGGAGGTCTCTTGATGTTTCACCCACGTATAATTTGTTGCAGTCATTACACGGGATTATGTATACCCCTGCAAAGGATGGAAGCTTGTCCTGTCTACTACTGGTGATGTCTTTGATGGTCGTGATTGTGGAGGTAGATACTTGGAATGATGTATTGGAAAAGATGTTGGAAACATGTTTGGCAATGGAGTTGGTGGGGAGGACTATGTATCTCTTCTCAGCAGTGTCTTCTCTGTTTGTGTTGAAGATGTTTAATGCCCGCCGTCTGCAGTCTCTGATGAAGTGATAAGGATAGTGGAGTTTAGAAAATACTTGTTCAATTATAGTGCATTCTTCCTCAAGGAATTCATTGCTGCAGATTCTGAGTGCGCGCAGGAAGAAGCCTATAATTACACCACGTTTAGTTTTGGTGTCGTGGTGAGAGTAGAAGTGGAGAAGATCGTTTTGGTTGATTGGTTTTCGATAGACTTTAAAACGAAGTTCATGGTCAGTTTTGCAGAGAAGAACATCAAGGAAAGGAAGAGTGTTGTCGACTTCTTCTTCAAGTGTGAACTGGATTGAGGGCTCGACCTGGTTGAGCTTGTCTTGGAGAGCTTGAACATTGAAGCGCCTGGAAGTTATGAGGAGAATGTCGTCAACATAACGGAGCCAGGTGACAGTCGAAGGAATAATGGTGGAGAAACGCTCGGCTTCCAGATGTTCCATGTATAAGTTCGCCAGGACGGCACTGAGTGGCGAGCCCATGGGTAGACCAAAAGTCTGTTGAAAGAGGTGATTTTTGAAAGAGAAACACGTAAAGCCGACACATAGTTCAACGAGGTCAATGAAATTGCTGGCTGGAATAGAAAGATCAAGTGAATCGTCAATTTTTCTGCACAGGAGATCGATGGCTTGTGTAGTAGGTACTTTGGTGAATAGGGAAGTTACGTCAAGGCTGGAAAGTTTTTGTTCCTGATGTTGATGTTGCGAATGCGATTGAGAAGATCACCCGAGTGTTTGAGATGTGCTGGACTGATAGTGCCCAAGAGTTTGGAGAGGTGTTTTGCGAGAATTCCTGAAAGTTGGTGGGGAGCACTGCCTATTCCCGAAGATATGAGCCTCAATGGGATACCAGGCTTGTGAGTTTTTGGTAGGCTGTACATTTTGGCAGGTCTGGGGTTGCTGGGTATGGTGTGCAGAAGTTTCTTCCCTTGTTCTGAGTTCCTCAGAATGCGGCGAGTCCTTTGAAGAAAAGTTTTAGTAAGGTTGTCCACTTGGTTAGTTGTGAGGGGTTTGTAGGTATCTGGGTCATTAAGTAGATTGAGCATTTTGTTCCTGTAGCCGTCAGTGTTCATGATAACACCACCACCTCCTTTATCAGCGGTGGTGACCCTGATGGTCGTGTCTTCTGCTAAACCTTCAAGAGCAATGATGTAACGTCGAGGTATGACTGGGGAGCTGCATGTAGAGATGGCTGCTGAGATGATGCCTTGAAGAAAACCTTTTTGGAAGTCGAAGTCATTGTGTCTGTAGTTTTTGGCGATGAAATTGAGGTCTTGTTTTGGTTTCATAAGAATCCTGGAATCATCGCTTATCTCTATAACCAACAATTTCAACCAGAACAATGGCTTCTATAACAGAGCTGAACCACTTGCCAAGAAACTTCTTCATTGCTATCCCACATAAGAGCATAGAACACTGCAGAAGGTCTACTCACAACTTGTCCAATACCCCTGCCAAGCTACCCAAGACTCTATAACCCCACCCGGTAGATCATCATATGCAGAATTCTCCACCTGACCTCAACATTCTGAACCTGACTATAAATACTCCCATACCTTCCACCCCAGGTAGATCTGTTTGTGACTTGAAAAAGCCCACTGTGTGGGTGAAACATTGTCAATAAAGGATCACATTAAACTGCATATGTGTTTATGTTTCCATTGTGTCGGTATTTTATACCATTAATTTTCAGTAGAATTATTGCTGACAGGCTCAAGGGTAAGACAGAAAGTAGGATTGCAGAGGGAAAAAGGAAAAAGGAGAATTTAGGAAGAGAAGGGTAGGGTAAGGGATGGAGTGTGTAGGCCAAATTACACTGAAGCATATAAGTGAACAAAACTTACATAAGGGTAAAAATCTGCTTGTCGCATTTAAGGATTTAGAAAAGGCATATGATAAGGTGATGTAGCAGATATTGCAAATGTATGGAATAGGGAGAATGTTACTAAGAGCAATAAAGAAGTTTTGTGAGATGAGTAAGGCTCAGGTTAGGGTATGTAGGAAAGAGCATCATTTTCCCTTAAAAATAGGCCATAATCAGAGACAAATGTCAACCATGTCAATCATGGTGACACTCATCTCTGATTATGGCATATTTTTACTGGAAAATGGGATTCAGGGAGACTGGTTACTTTTATATAACCGGACTTTACAGGTAGTAGGTTGGTAGACAGCAACCACCCAGGGAAGTACTACTGTCCTGCCAGGTGAGTGTAAAATGAGAGCCTGTAATTGTTTTACATGATGGTAGGTTTGCTGGTGTCCATTTTTCTGTCTCATGAACATGCAAGATTTCAGGTATGTCTTGCTACTTCTACTTACACTTAGGTAACACTACACATACATGTACAAGCATATATATACACACCCCTCTGGGTTTTCTTCTATTTTGTTTCTAGTTCTTGTTCTTGTTTATTTCTTCTTATCTCCATGGGGAAGTGGAACAGAATTCTTCCTCCGTAAGCCATGCGTGTTGTAAGAGGCGACTAAAATGCCGGGAGCAAGGGGCTAGTAACCCCTTCTGCTGTATATATTACTAAATGTAAAAGGAGAAACTTTTGTTTTTCCTTTTGGGCCACCCCGCCTCGGTGGGATACGGCCGGTGTGTTGAAAGAAAGAAAGGTTTGCTGGTGTCTTTTGTCTGTCTCATAAATATGCAAGATTTCAGGTACATCTTGCTACTTCTACTTTTACTAACACTTAGGTCACACTACACATACACGTACACATTTATTGTATACACACTCATCTGAGCTTTCTTTGATTTTATCTTAATAGTTCTTGTTCTTATTACCTTTCCTTTTATATCCATTGGGAAGTGGAATAAGAATCTTTCCTCTGTAAGCATGCATTTTTTTTTTTTTTTTTTCAACAAG